CTACACATATGAAATTCTAAATATTAAGCTAACATAGGAAACAGCAAAGTTGCTCAGTACATTATACAACAGAGCAGGGTAAAGTGAAAGCTACATTGCAATTGAATAACCTGGCTCGCTAAATGTAATGAAGGACCCAAAATACTCACCTAACTGCTGACTATTAGAAAAAAGCTTAAATAAAAGATACACTTATTGTGTTCATGAAGCAAAATATACCAGGAATGTCATATATTGCATACAGAAATTAGTTTCAGAACAGCGGCTTCTCCCTCAGGAAGCTTATTTGCATTTACAGGGTTTCGGTTTTAAGCATAAAAGAAATAAAAATTATTATTGTTTTAATTATATGTCCTCTTTTTTAACTTATTCAATTTAATTTTCAGTTTTCATGTTCACTTATTTTGCAGCTGTATCAGTCCTCCACGTATTTTTACTTAAAGAAATTGAAGTTTGTGTTTATATGAGCATTTCTATTGGGAAAAAAAAGAAAGGAGCACTTTAAAACAGATTAGACCAAACCATTACCAGTAATCCGCGACTTTGCTTGTATTCCTTGACGATTTGTTTAATGTTCTCCACAAGTCCTGCCTGAGCAACCCACTTAATGTTGAAAGTGTCTTTCAGAAACACAGATTCCATTCGCAGGTTCACAAGCAACATATCCAAATGCATTTGCTGAGGGAGCAAAACTACATTTATTTACAGACTTAAGCTATTCATGTTAAAAGAACACTGCTAGCTTAAAATAAAGACTAGAATGGAGGGGTGAGAATAGAAAGAATTAATGGAAAGAAGGTTTGCTTACAAAGCAAACCAGACATTTTAAGCTTTTTAAAAATATAAACATTTCTAATGTATATTTGTATTTGAGTATTCTCATGAACTATTAAAACATGAACCATTAAATGATTATTCTATGTAATACAAACGTTTCGTATAATTGCAGGGAATAACCTCTTTCACAAATGTATCAAGTATCATCCTAAGAGTAACAGGGTTGTAATTTGTTTATTGCTTCTATGTACAGTATATTTCAGATAAATAGATGAATACTAAATAATTTATGTATGCTACGTTCATCAGCCTTAGTAGCACCTCACTCAACTTTTTTTTTGTTTTTTTTTTTTTCATTTTGTGTAGGTTTTCTTTGAGCACTTCAGTATGCTCAGTGCAACAGTGACATCAGTGCTTCACTGCTTTTCTAAATCAGGCTGTAACTCTTCAAAATAGTCTGTTCTATGATGGTTAAATTTTAGTTTATTTATTTTCTAAAATTAAACTCAATGTATATATCTTCAGGCATATTTTAGAGTTAAAGTTTTCTGGTGAAATAAAAAAATAAATTATACATTTCATGATATTATAAGTTTACATCCTTTCCTTAAGTAATAAAATGGGAAAAAACTACTAACTGTTAACTCTTTGCTCAGGAATGCATTTTCTTTTGGAATCTTCTCAGTTTTTCCCGGTCCAACATTTTTACTGATACACTATCGAAAAAGAAAAACAAATACACTTATCAAATCACATTCTTAGAAAAAAATAAACAGGATTTCTGTGGATAAAATATATGCTTTAAATTTTATGTTACACTATACCTGAAAAGTCAGTATACTGATTTGAAATAGACAGATCAAAGAATAGTGTTTTAACTTTAGTATTAGTATAAACACCTTTGTTTTGCTAGACATCACTTCCTCTTTAGTACTGGCAATAAAAAAAACCCAAACAAACAACAACCAACCAACTCAAAACCACAGAAAAGTGCTCCAAAGCTCTTAAATCTATGTACGAGTTCCTGCTGCTTAAGATCTATTTGAAGACTTACTTTATTTCCCAGCATTTTCACTTCAGGTTCTTGAAGTATTTAATTCTGTTAACAATCAGGAAGGGTTTTCAGACCAATGCCATCAATACCTCTCCATTTAACATTTTCATTTCATCATTAGACAGGAATTGTTAGTTACTCCTACAGCCTTTAAAATAGATTTTAAGCCTCACTAGATTCCATAAAACCATAGGAATTGATATAGAGCATCACATCAAATCTACATATATTCCAGCATTCTGTCTCCAATGATGTCAACTAGTGGATGCCTAAATGAAAGCAAGAATGGGAAAAGCATATATGATACTTCTTCCAGATACTCTTCTAATCTTCAACTATTTTCAGCTCAGAGAGTTCTTAAACTAGAAATAGCTGCTGCTTATCAAAGTAACCCTCACGGTATTTCTCTCCCATGTACCTTTCCAGTCTTCCCTTGGGCTGGTACCACTCCCTGCCAAGACAGCTCCCATCAGCGCACGATGTAACACTCTCTCCACTGGCAACTTCCTGTCTCTACAAGAACTGTCCGTTTCTGCCCTCTATTTCCTGTTTCTGAACAACCACATACTCATGAAAGGACCCAACCACTTTTCTTAGGGTGCTTAGCTGCTTCTCAACATCTTTTAGTGAAGTAATTCTTGGAAAGCCTTTGGGAAATTCAAGTAGACTACATCAGCTCGTTCACCCTTTTCCATGTTTTTTGGTCACATCAAAGAACTTCAGGAGGTTTCCAAAGCATTTGAAAGTACTTTTTTTTAATGTATTTCTTGGGAAAGTATTTTACAAAAGTCACATTGGCTCTTCCCAAATAGATCATATGTATCTGGGTGTCCTTTAATGCATTTATTATAATTTCTAACAATGTACCTGGTTAATAGCCAATGTCATTAGGCATATTGGCCTGTAATTCCCAAAACATTTCAGGAACCTCTCTTTTTACATTGGCATCACATTTACCATCCTCCAGTCTTCAAGTGCCAGGACAGTGCTAAACAGCAGGTCCTATGCACAAATTAGCAATTCAAAGTTATTTCATCCTTGGATTTTTCGACTTCTTCAGCAAATAGCATAAGACTCTGGCGGTTTCTTAGTGGTCATTTTGTCAGTTCATTCTATAAACTTTTCTACAGTTACTTTAGTTTTATACAGTTTCTCTAAAAAGTTATCCACAAAGATATCCTGAGGCATTAAGATATTTCCAAATTCTTACCCGTGTCCACTAACACAAAGCATCTCTACTACTGCCTTGTCTTCTCTAAGTCCTCCTTTTATACTACAATAATCAATTTGCCTTATAGATTTTCTGGTAGGCTTTCTGGTTTTTAATAGTTTGGGAACAGGATATTGATTTTGAGTCCTTCCTGTTAATTGATCTTCAAGGGTTTTTTTCACTTATCTTGCCAGATTTCATGATCTTTTCTATTCTATTTTCTTCATCTGAACGCAATCATGTCTTTTGAAGCCTGCCATCTTGTTTTTCTCAACATACAGTTTAACCATGCTAATTTTCATTTACTCTTTATCATTTTTAACAAGTAGCAAGCAATGTCCTTATATGAATAATAATGTAAGTTTCAATAGCCTCTATCCTTCTCCTCCAAAGATTTAATATTTTTAATGCCTTTTGTGTTCGTTTTTATATAATGCTCTTTCCTATGGTTGACCGCAGCTGCAAAAGTTATTTTGACCTTTGCTTCTTCCATGGGAATGTTGACTAATTGCAATATGGCCACTTATACAGAATGGCTCTTTAACTATTAACTTTTCAGTAAGACCCTGTATATTTACCTGAACCAAAACAAAGGTTGCATCTTCTTGTGAATTCCCTAACACAGTGCTCCATGAAACACTCTTTGACACAAACAAAAAATATCAAGTTGTTTTGTTTGGTCCTTACGTAACATTTGCTCAATCTATATGAGCAAGTCTCATATTTCATTAGTTAATGCTCACTATCAGTGTATAGTTCAACAGTGTCATCCAGCCTCTTTCTAGACTTAATTTCAAATGCTTGCAAAAACAAGATATCTACCTACAAAATTAAGGAAAAAACATCATAAAGACTTTGACTATCTAATTAGAGTACTATTAATCCCATAACAATTTCTTAGGTAAAATTTCTATTTAAGTTAATAATAATAATACTGCAAAAGCTAGTTCTGCAAAATCAGGTCCAAGTAATGTATATTGTTCAAAGGACAGAAGTCTTGGATGATTTCAAAACAATTTTCTATGTCATTTACTACACAAGATAATTCAGGAAGACCTAGGAATTTCTACTTTAGTAAAATTTATAGTTTTTAAAACCATAAAGATATCTGAAAAAAAAAAGAATCAAATCTCTTACCTTTATTAATTCTTGAAGAGTGTGCACAGATTCATCTACTGCAAGTATATACTGAGACCTTGGCCTCTGGTCTGCTACATTTTGTAACACTCTGAAACATAGCACGCAGTGTCAGGACCAGTGGGCAGAGAAGCATACGGGCCTTTCATTATTAAATGCATTCCAGAAAGAGCATAAAGAGTTTGTAAAATCTTGCAGAACTTCTCAGAGCATGACATTTCCATATACATTTTCCATAACAAAGAAGCACAGCTAGATACTTTATTTGGAAAGAAATTCAAAGGATAAAAAACAACGTCTATAGAAGACATTAACTCAGCTTGCTGTAGAGTCCACGATTCATTTCCAGTTCTGTGCCAGTTAACTGCTATCATACTCTAGATCAAGCATTGCTAATAATTTCTTAAAAGCATACCACCAGTCAGATAAGTTTTCCAGAAGGCCTATTTACTATTAAAGAAACAGAAGTCTTTGTTTGACTCAGTAGGAAGGGTCAAAGAGTGTTCTTAAACCCACCTACCCCAATTCAAAAGCCACAGTACCCTAGTAGATTTGGATTTGTAATCTAGCTAGGCATCAATTATTGTTCAGGGGAAATTTCTTTTACTTACGCTGCTAAATCAAGAACATGAATGGTTGGAACAAAATTGTTTCCATCTCCGAAAATAGGTATGGCAGGAGTCTCACTAAGCCAACCTATCTGAAAATACAAATAGAGAATGAAGTGAGGAGAAAACTCACTACTTTCAACTAGAGATAAAAAAGGGAGCATTTGCTTACTAGGCAAATCTACATATTCAGGATTTAAAGTTCAGTTTCTTGAATGATTAATGGAACTGCAGTAAAGGAAACAGTTCTTGAGAAATACTGACTGGCAGTCTACTAAAAAGAAATCTTTTTTGTTTTAAAGTATAGTCTTTGATCTTGACAAATGTTATTTTGTATTCCAAATAAAAGAAATGCTTGGAAAAGAGAGAGTACAATGTTGAGAAGAAAGACATTTTTCCTGATTTCATTGATATTAGAGAAATGTTTTCACTGTAAAGTACATACAGAGATACTGTTAACTATGGAAAAAAAAACTTAAAAAACATATAGAGCCAAAAAAGTGGAAAACACTTCCACTGTAGCTAGAACATTTCAAAGGGATCAAATAATCAGTTTTGTTCACAAAAGCATTAAGCTTATCATACCAAAGCTACTAAAAATACATTCAATTCCATTGTGGTTTGCCTCTAGAAATTAAACGAACCTTCAAAAATAGTTGGATATCTACCTTAAAAAAGTAGTGCAAGACTCCTTCCCCAGCTCCATATTGATGTCCTGAGGCAACAACATAAGTTGAAAATTTGTGTTTGTTCTGGGAAGTAAAATCAACAAGAAAGTTTTAAGAAATATGGTACTGCAAATGGGCTACTGGCTTATCTTGAAACTTAAGTACTTGTGTACTAAATATACAAAATGTGTAAATTATATCACTTAAAATTTGTACCTAGATCAATCATTGCATATCCTGTAGTTTCATCAATCATATTGCTAATATTTCCTTAAAAAAAAAGGATTGCTTGATCAGAATTGACCTGTCTATATTTGAACTGAAATTCTAAAAAAAATTTAAGAGTCAAAAAAATTGGAAGCAAGTTATGTAAATCAATGAAGAGAACAGGATAACTCATCTCTCTACTTTCTATTTCCAATAAAAATAACTCTGAAATTCATTGAAGCTATTTTTTAAATTGCATTATATTTGCATTTGACTGCCTAAAGAACTGGGAAATGCTGGATTTTACAATTGTTTTACATTCAATTTGATATATGATGTAAAAAAAATAAATCTGTGAACTATCTAAGTGTTTTCCTAACCACACATCACAATCTACCCATGTATTTTTTGCCGATCATTATTGCATAAAGTCATAAAATTGCCTGTCCTGGCTGCCTATTTATGTGTAATGTTACTGCTTGGATCAGTGTTGAGGATGGTTATATAAAGAAAAAAAAAATTGTAAATCATCTCAAGAAGGAAAAACTTCCAAGAAAATCCTTTACATTAGGACCAGTCACTTTGAAATTTTTAAGGTGAAACAAAATTATTAAAGAATTCTCATGTTGTAAAGATCCTAGACGTTATATATCTACTTAACACTATGTAAAAGAACCTGCATTTACCAGAGGAAATAAATGCCCAGATTTGAGATCTACTTCTTTTGTGAAAAAATGCATCTTTTGTTATCATCTTTATAATATTTCAGAAACATAGAACTAAGAACACTGCTGGCCAACCTTTGATTGCAGAAGCAAAGCATCATATAAAGGGATGACAAGTTATAACATTGGTGTATTTTATCTGTGTATGTGTTTTTATCTATCTACTTACAAAATAAAACTTTGTATAAAAACTACCTCAACTCAGTTGAATGCAACAGCTTGTTAGTAATCACAAGAAACTTTAAAATTAGAAGGCATTTCAGACAGCATAATTGCTCCCCCACTTAGTTTGCTTGGGCAGCACCATGATAGAAACTGTACCCTAACAGCAGCAGCTCTGCATTGCTCTGGACAGACTGTAAACATGCCCCAGAAGACATGCTGTAATTTCCATCTCCCAGCAGGAAAAACCTGCCTCTTGTGAATCACAGGAGGTGCTATTTCTCACCTGCCCTAAGAAGAATGTAACACACAGGATTTTCTTCCATTTACCTTGCAGTAGTTTCTGCAGTAGCCACTTGCGGAGACAAACCACAGTTTGGCACCGAGTGCTGTATTTCACCGAAATACAAACCTCGGAAACAGGTTCGAGTTCTCTAAAAATCCCTCTTTAGTGTCACGTCACACATATGAGAAGGTACTATTTGAGATGACTTCGATATACTTAATTTAAAAAACAAGGTAATTATTAGGCAAGCCCCAGTTGGAGACAGCATGTTTAGTCATGGCTAAAGACCTTCACGTTCCTGTGTAATATTCATTAAGGCCACTAGATGTCACAATCTAGCCACGATAATCAGTTCTTGGCTTTCATCGTTTTACGTCGTTGGTTTGCTTGTTTGTTTTATTCTATTAAAATGATTGAAGTAGGAAATAGGTCTAAATTAATGGATTCAGGAACTGTGATGCCACTGAGAACAGAGCTAGGAGATGAAGAGCTCTTCTGTCTGTGCTAGGCAGATGTTTCTCCAAGGATTCTGAATTTGGCAGGACCCCAGAGTAGGCGACTTCTCAGAAAAGCTATGCAGCCTGTATGGCCTGCCACAAAGGTAAAGGTAAAAAATTGCTAGTGGTAAAAAACAGACTTCTAGCTCACAACTCTTGCTGAATTTTAAGCAAAATATAAGTGGGAGATACACTAACTCAGAGGGGTGAAATCTTGCTTTAAGCAACAACAGCCATTAAATTGCACTGTGAACAGACATTAAGGCTAAGAAACCCTTCTACTCTTGGTGCAAGATCTTCTCTACATGACTAACATGGCTGCTGAATCCTGGTGTCTCCTGCTGAGCTCTTTGCAGGGAGTGGTAACACTGCTGTTTCTTTCACAGACAGCACGTTTCCCAGATGTCGCTGAATTTAGAAGCGAGAACTGTAATTCAGAAGTCTCCAGCCATCACAGGAAGCTAATGTTGACCTGCTGGGAAGGGCAGATGCTTTGGAGCCTTCCTGTTCCAAAGTGCACAGGGGCAAAGATACCCATTGATGCTGCCCCTGGAATTCTGGAGGAAAATGGCTCCTTTTGGAAGGCCTACAAGAGGTACATACCGAGAACATTGAAGTTGCTGTATTGCGTGCTGCTACATACTGTTCCATCATCTCCTCAAAAGACATTCAGCCTGGCAAACGTTTAGAAGCTAATTATATTAATACCTTTGTTACATGGTGACTCAGTGTTTTGGACTAGTCAGAAAAATTGAGTCAATAGTTCATCTGGGTGTTACCAGTGGCAGAAGTTATTGTGAGGTTTGGTGGACACTGGTTACAATTTTCATGTTTCTAATATCACAAGTATGAAAGTTATTCCATAGTCTTATAACTCCATGTTGGCACAGTGAAAGTAAGAACAATTTGCCACTGTAAAGCTGTACACCAAATTTTACTGGCATTCTGTACTATTTAACCCATGTTACAATAGAATATAATTTCCAGTGCTATTTTCTCAGCAGGGCATAAGATGGCAAGTGTACACTGAACTCAGAGTAAGGGGGTTTTCCCACTCTATAATTAGCCAGATAAATTTCTGCAATGGACACTAAATTGTATTTATTATGGGAGACTGCTAACGCACAAAGAGAATGACCAAATGACATCTTCATCGTACAGTGTATTTCGTTCTCTTCCACATGTCTTTCCTAACCTCCACAGTACTCTGTCTCTAATGACAACAGCATCAATTCTCCTGAGTTGTGAAGCACAATCCGAGCTACTGTCAGTATTTATTTAATAATAGCTCTTAAATGCAGAGAAGGGCATGGTCTGTTCTCTAGTAGCATTAATAGTCTAATCAGGACCAAACAAACAAAGCCGAAGGAAGTGATTTAAAAACACATATAAAGTGATCACAGGTATTCTAGTTACTCTGGGTCAGCTCTATGCCCGTGATTTTAAAGTGAATTATAGGGTGGAATAAAAGTCAACAAGCCTTCTGCTCCTAGAGCATGAACTATCCAGGAACGTGCTAGGTGTGGCCAGAACATCTTCTAAGTATTTAAACGGGACATAATACTAACATAGTTTGCTTGAAGATGCTGCTTTTCTTTAAAACTACTACTAATATCCCTTTCTTCTACATTCTTTCATCCTCAAATTTTCCCCACACAAGCTCCACCTTTAATTCTCTCTTATATTATGCAGACACTTATGTTTCAAAAGACATTATAGTCTTCTCAATACTTGATATTTTATTAATAATTGACGTTATTCGTATTTATCAAGAGAATAACATACTCTTACAAATTATTTAAATTGTTGGTAATTTCCATTACTAAGATAATGCTCTAAGTAAGAAGATCAAACAACCTATTTTTGTAAAAACATTATTTACATACAGTTTTCCCAAGTTTGAGAATGAGTTTTTCAGCATTTAGGTGATCCACAAAGTTAGGATGAGATTTTCTTCTGCGATAATCTTCATCAGTAAAAGGAATCTCAGGATCTTCCTATGAAGGAAAAAATGTGACTGTTATACATGTCTTAGAACAATTTTTAAAGGCCTAGATAGTTAAAATAGTTCTTAAAAAAATATTTTGAAAATCTGTTTTAACTTTGTTTTCATTTGAAATTCTTAAAACTGATTCTAATACTTCAGGTTGAACATTTTGAAAATGTTAGTAGTTCAATTTCAATTTTCACAGCAAAAGATTTTTAACTACCTTTTATATTTTAAAAATAATGAATTTTTATTATATATAATATTACACAAACCCTAAGAACTGCTACAGGTAACATTAATGTGCACAATTTCTGTAAGACTGAATTTGGGAATTGCAACAACTTACTACAAAGCATCCCACATGGTTCCTGACAATACCTAACATATACAAAGAGGTATCTATCTGTATACACACTTATTTAAATTCATATTTCATTAAATATACAGTAAATATGGAGGTTTTTATGACTGAAGGACAGTGCATATAGTAGTTAGCACAGATCTTACCTCTTCTCCAAGCTGTCCCTAATGTCTGCCTGTATCATTGCCTAAACTTCTCCATCCAGTGCAATAAAGTTAACAATTTTGGCAGTAAGTAGCAGTTCAGGGTGAAAGGCTCATGAGAGAAAACACACTTGCTGACACTAACTTTATTAGCTATGTTTGAAGTACATACTGAAGTACTTTGTTTAATTGAATTTAATGACTATTTTACATTAAATGGAAATATTCAGTTAAAAAAATGCTCATGTATTCATATTACTTACAGGTTGAGGGAGTTTGCTTTTTGCCCAGCTCATTATTGTTGAAACGAGGATGAACAACTTCGGTGTTGCAAAATGTTCTATTTCCATATGTAGGGCTGTTAAATGAAAGGGCTGTTAAATTTGGGTTGGTATAAAATTAAGATAATAGATCAAGAAAGAAAACAAATAGGTTGCCCAGAGAAGAAAGAAAGAAAAGAAACCGGTTGCCCAGAGAAGTTGTAGATGCCCCATCCCTGGAAGTGTTCAAGGCCAGGTTGGATGAGGCTTTCGGCAATCTGGTGTAGTGGAGGGTGTCCCTGCCCATGGCAGGGGGGTTGGACCTAGATGATCTTTAAGGTCCCTTCCAACCCAAACCATTCTATGATTCTATGATTCTAAATAGACAAATAATGGCAATAAAGAATCAAATTATTAGGAATCAACATAATCTCCATAGAGCTACATAACATGGGGCAAAAAAAAAAAAAAAACAAAACAATCTATGCTAGGAAATGATTCATCTTTATTGATGGCTGAGATACTGAAAGAAAATAGAAGTGTGGTTTTTTTCATGACTGAAACAAAAAAACATAGAATCATAGAATCATTTAGGTTGGAAAAGACCTTTAAGATCATCGAGTCCAATCATTAACCTAGCACTGCCAAGTCCACCATATCCCTAAGCACCACATCTACACGTCTTTTAAATACCTCCAGGGATGGTGACTCAATCACTTCCCTGGGCAGCCTGTTCCAATGCTTGACAACTCTTTCAGTGAAGAAATATTTCCCAACATCCAATCTAAACCTTCCCTGGCACAACTTGAGGCCATTTCCTCTTGTCCTATCACTTTTTACTTGGGAGAAGAGATGGACACTCACCTCGCTACAGCTCCCTTTCAGGTAGTTGTAGAGAGCAATAAGGTCTCCTCTCAGCCTCTTTATCTCCAGGCTAAACAACCCCAGTTCCCTGAGCCACTCCTCATAAGACTTGTGCTCTAGACCTTTCACCAGCTTTGTTGCTCTTCTTTGGACGTGCTCCAGCACCTCAATGTCTTTCTTGCAGTGAGGGGCCCAAAACTGAACACAGTATTTGAGGTGCAGCTTCAGCAGTGCCGAGTACAGGGGGACAATCACTTCCCTAGTCCTGCTGGCCACACTATTTCTGAGACAAGCCAGGATGCTATTGGCCTTCTTGGCCACCTGTGCACACTGCTGGTTCATATTCAGCTGGCTATTGACCAACAGCCTCAGATCCTTTTCGGCTGGACGGCTTTCCAGCCACTCTTCCCCAAGCCTGTAGCGTTTCATGGGGTTGTTGTGACCCAAGTGCAGGACCCAGCACTCGGCCTTGTTGAACCTCATACAACTGGCCTCGGTCCATCGATCCAGCCTGTCCAGATCCCTCTGTACAGCCTTTCTATCCTCAAGCAGATCAACGCTCCCACCCAATTTGGTGTTGTCTGCAAACTTACTGAGTGGGCACTGGATCCCCTCATCCAGATCACTGATAAAGATATTAAACAGAACTGACCTCAATGCTGAGCCCTGGAGAACACCACCTGTGACAGGTTGCCAACTGGATTTAACTCCATTCACCACAACTCTTTGGGCCCAGACATCCAGCCAGTGTTTTAGCTAGTGAAGAGTATGCCCATCCAAGCTATGAGCAGCTAGCTTCTCCAGCAGAATGCTGGAAAATCTACCGAATTCAACCAAAACTTCCTTATTTTAATTTGGAGCAAAATAATTAAATGTGGGTTATGTTTTGTTGAGTCTTCTAAAACTTATCATGTTATACAAATATTTTTACTATAAACAGGAAAGCATAATTTAGTTTAACTATCATATAAAAAACAATATTGCACCGTCACCATAAAAAGATTCCAGATGCCCATTAGAATTTGGATATAATAATCAGGAGAAAGTATCAGAAAGACTGTAAGCAGTATTTTTTATCGGGCATTTAAGTCAAAATAAATTTAAAATAATTATATAAAATATTGAAATGTTATCACAGGAGCAAATTTTCTACCCACCTCCCAATGCAAATAGCTAAGATGATGGTTGATAGTTATTTAGGGAAATAACTGCCTACACAGATATGTCATTTAAAGTGTTGTTAGATTACGAATGCTAGAATGCATTGCATGTTCTCTTGTTAATTAATTGAACAATTCATGCAGCATTTCTCCATCAAGGAACCCAGATTTATATTACAGTAAACTATAAATCCCAGATAATTTCATTATTTATTTATAGTAAATTTTGATGGCTATATAGCAACAGATTTTCTGTTCAGTCGATAGCTATACTAACCAGAAGCAGCCCATGTTGCTTCCTCAATTTGATTTGGATCCTCGGTGATATTATATAAAACAATCTCACACTCACGCAAGTGATTTAAGAGCTCTTTTTGAGAAGAGGCCTGGGGAAAAAGTAGTTAGAATTGACATTTAAAAAAATAAAAATAAAACTCCTTTTCTTTTCAAGTTTAACTTACTGATAGAATGTAGTTTTCTAACACTAGGGTGTTCAAATAATTCATAAGACTGATATCAAACTTTGTGTCAGAGACAAGTAAGATGATGAAATGTAAATTAAACGCTGAAACTTCTAATTTACAATACACATTAATGTAGTTCAAAAATATGTACAATTTTTAGCAGCATTTTAGGATTTCTATTTTCAGTGCAATTGTGAGTATCAAAAAATATATATGACTTTTATAGGTATTTTCAACAAGGATCAACTGGCAGAATGAAGAAAACATAAAATGTCTATTTCCTTGCAAAATAACATTCTGTCATTTTTATTAAATGCAGATTGTCTGCATCACTTGAGCAAATCCAACAAACACTTTGGGCAAGAACAGGGATTAAGATTAAATACTGTCAGCCATAATTTTCTGATTGAACGGCTCAGCTGTATAGATGTTGAAATCCAAATTTTCAAACATTTGAAGAGATTCTGGCTTATCGATTTGAGACAGAGGCAATTTTAGTTTCAGAAAACTAAATCAAGCAATAAGCAATCACATTCTTAAAAGCAAGCCTCCTTTAGTTAGCTAAACTCTGGACATATCTTTATACAAAGATGTAGGTATTGAGAACAATTAGCTGCTAGTGAAACCTGTGAATTCAGTGAAAAGTTAAGAAGCAGGACACTAAATTTGATTCCAGCACCACTACCTTTAAAATGGCGACAGAAGACACAGAGGAGACAAGAGAGATTCTTGAAGTGTGTCTTTTGAAGGAAGAAGAAAGCAGACCTGTGGATTGTCAAGGTAGATGATGTTCTGTCCGTAACTATTTTTTTTTTTAAATCTATTTAGAGTTCGAGTTCCTTCCTTTTACTGTCTCCTGTATCAGACCTAGCAGGGAGGAGACAGCAGTGTGCAGGAAGCAGAAGGAATCAAATATATGTGTACAGCTTTCAGCAGCAACACAAGACCATTTTATTAACGCAGATCATTTTACATGACTTGGAATGTTTCTAATGTTGTTTAATGGCAACCTGAAATAAGACTCTTACTTACTGCATAGGTTTCCTCTGCAAAATATGGTTTAGTACTCTTTGGCTTAGAAAGGGTACCCACTATTTGGTAGACTCCCTCCTTTGGCCTGCTAGAAAGTTTGGCAGCTGAGTTATTTTCATCTTCCTCCTCTTCTTCTCCTATGCTTTCAAGCGATGCCCCAACAACACATTTGGATAAATACTGCAATATACAAGACACACATTTGTATGTACATATATATTGAATCGTGCACAGCTTCTCATGGTCTTCAGAAGACACTAACACTCTGCTGACTAGCTCTGGTCCCGTAGTAGGCAATGTAGCTCAGAACATGGCCTTCCTTTGAACAGGAAAACATTACGGACTCCTCAACCTCAGCTGTAATGTCTTGTTTTGACTTGTGTCCTATGCCTCAAAGTCGAAGATGTTAGCGAGTCCCTTGATGTCTCTTCCCTGCAACCCATCTTCCAGGCAGGCATTACCTCAGACAGCTCTCTCTCTCCATAGTGATCAGCTGTTGCCAGAGGTCTCCCGACCTGCTCTATTCACAGCTCCTGCTCCTTACTCTCATTTTCCTTCTCCTTCTTGTCTTAACCCCTTCTTGCCCCCAGCCCCTCTCCTCAGCAGCTATTTCAGGTGACCCCGTCT